GAAGAGGCTGATAAGCATAAGTAAGAGCACCTCCTATTTGTGCTTTAAAATCGACGACGAGGTGGTGGGTGTCGATTCTTTTTTGACGGGTCTTTTACAAGACTTGCTGCATGGTGAATATCTGGTCAATCGTTAATTTACTAGGTATGATGGCACACTGATGTGGTCCTATCAGTTTGTTTACGGCTAGTTTCAGTCTTTCACAAAATACATTCGATAGGACATTATTGCTGATATTAAGCAGGCTTATCCAACGATAATTGGCACAGACTGTGGGGTACCCTTTTTTATGGATTCGGTAGAGCATAAATAAGTTCCAATCGTTGGGCATGCTTTCTTCCGACCATATTCTGCAAAGTAGCTGATATATGCACCTTATCAGCTATCCTCCGCCATGTTTGAATAACACTGCTGTTAAGCCGTCTGCGCTTTGCTGGTTTTTAAGTAGGTGATTGTTATTCGAGCTTCGTCATGGTTGGTTTGCTGTTTCTTCGTCATCGATTGGGGTTGAGGGTTAACCAGGTTTTGAAACCTTCCTTAAGTCGTCGTATATTCTCATAGAACTTTGGAGCGTTATCCCTGTCGAATAGCTTCTCAAGCTTTTCATTCTCACGCATCTCTACCTCTTTTTTTTTATCTGCAGATGAGTCTTGCTTTCCTCTTCATTTTTTTGTATCTATCCCGCACATGTTGTGGTCGATAACAAGGTTGCGATGTAGACAGTCGGTTTTCTCTCCACTGAGGCACGCTGTTTTTGCGACCTTTACGAAATCGAATATGTATGTTGTGATAGTAGCTTTTTATCGTCGAGCTTTACTTGTGCTTGCTGGCGGGCGTTTTTCGATACACAGAGGCGCATGCGTTTCTTCGTTGCAACGAAGTTGGCTCCTCGGGGTGTACGCACGTCAAGAGCACTGGAAACATGTCTTCCGTCTATCACAACATGATCGATCTGGTCTTGTCTTTTTCGATCAGGGGACAGCCAAGTAACGTGATGTATTTTTGGTGCTGGAATGTAGTACTACAGACATCCGTGTTTCGGACCCCGGCGAAGTCTATTAGCGTCAATACATTAAGAGTGTATCGTTGTGAAGGCTGAATCGCACTAAAGATACCTTCTTTGCCCACCCTGGCATTAAAATCGCCAAGCACGATTTTCAGATCGTGTCGGGGACAGCGCTCATAAGTATGCTTTAGGAGCTTTTAAAACGCATCTTCAGCTATCGTCCTTCTCATCCGTCGGGGCGTGAGCGAAAATAAACGATTTGTTACAGAATTTCGCACGCACCGGGGTGAATGTCAGTACTCGACGACAGAGTGTATCTCTCCCACCACAAATCAAACATCAAATTTGTGCTTTTTATATGGCCGCTGTGGTAAAAGTCACAATAACCTAATCGTTTTCGTCATTGTCCCGTTCATCGCACTTCTTGGACGGCAGTGATGTCAGCCTTTAATCCTACGGGTATATCAACCAGCTGGGCAGCGGCACAATCCCAATTGTGGGGTCGAACGTTCGAGCTGCACGCCCTCAAGTCATGATCCTTAATTCGTTTGCGGGTGTCGTCAACACAAAGGGGGTATCTCATCTGAGGCGTTGTTGAATTTTTCATTGGAGCTGTTTCTACTTGGCGAGTTGCAAGCCCAGCGCACAATGTCAATAGGCGAGTGAGCTTAAAATTTTTTTACACATTTATATAGCAAGCCGTTTGCTGCAAACCCGACATCCGATCGCAGCTGCACCTCTGTTGTACAGATGCTGAAATTAGAGTTCAGCAAATCCCTTAATCCGAATAAGTCGGAGTGGCTCTAGCTTCTTATCTCACTAGCTGTGACACAAGGCTCCTCAACGGTTGGTAACCACATTATGCGCAACGGTTGCTCACGTTTCCAGAGCGCGCAGCGTGGGCGCGAGAGCAGGAATTGAATATAGCCTCGCAACTGTAACAGCATATCCCGAAGTTTGACTAGACCTTATTTCGCACCTCTTATCTAATATATACAAATCTGGTCCACTTCCCGGAGAAAATAAGAGTCAAAACGCCACCTATGTACCGAAATTCAAGTAACTATACCATAATTAGACTTTTTTCGAATGGGACATTTTCTGGTCCATTTTCCGGAAAGAAGTTTAGTCTTCCTGTTAATCTAAGCAGAAAGCCAACTGATCAGTCTCTGGTACATTTCAGGATAGAAGAAGAGATTTCCTGTTAGTTAAAGCAAAAGGCCAACCATTTACCGAAATTTAAGTAAATTCAGCCATAAATAAAATTTTTCTGAATAGGTCACATCTCGGTGAGAAGAAGAGTCTTCCTGTTAATCTGGGCAAAAAGACACCTGTGTAGTAAATTTCAAGTCAATCAAGTAAATGTAGTGTAAATTTAGTCTTCCTGTTAATCTAAGCAAAAAAAAACCGCCGATGTGCCACATTTTATGTAAATCGAATAATAGATCAGACCTTGGTCCACTTTCCGGAGAAAAGAAAATTCTCCCTGTTAATCTAACTTTATGCCACCTATGTACCGAATTTCAAGTAAATAAACCATTATTGGTTTTTTTTTCGAATAGGTCAGTCCCTGGAGCACTTCCCGGAGAGAAGAATAGTCTTCCTGCTTACCTAAGCAAAAACACAAATGTGTACCGAATTTCAAGTAACTCGATCTATAAATAAGTTTTTTTGAATAAGTCAGTTCACGGTCTACTTTCCGATTTTGTTTTATTGTAAACCTTTGCCGGAATCATGGAAATAGTATGATTAAATTTTAAGTCAATTGGTCTGTGGGTTTTGGAAATTTCTTTATCTTACCTTGCGAACGTAAGATTTGTATATATTAGATAAGGGGTGTGAAAGATTTTACATAATACATGGGATAAATAGTTCCGGACTTAACAAATCAAACTTGTTTTGTTTTTTTTTTTTGCTCGAAATTGGCTTCATTAAAAGTCACACAAATGAAAAAAGGTGATTGCAATAAAGCTAGCGTTATCTAGGATTGAGGCCTGGAGCTTTCCTATGCATTTGTTATATGTGCATAATTTTGATTGATAAATCGCTCTCATTTCAATTTTGTACTTTTCTCTTTTTTCTTCTTACTTTAAATTTCTTGGGTTCCATGTTTATAATTCTTTCACTTTTTAATTCAACTGGCTTAATTTGAACCCAATGTTTTATAACTTAATTTCCTTCGTTTCATTTATGTACTCGAATATATACATTTACACCGGCGAAGTGATTGACGGTTGAACTCCTCCTCCAATTTGTAACTGTGCGTTTTGATTTTTTTAGCTAATGAAGAAACTTACAGTTTATTCTTTTTCTATGATATTTTATGTTTGTCGGGCCGGGACTATAAACCATGGCATGCCGTATGGTAGTACACACTGGTAATCACCAGACTCTGCTCACAAGATCTATATGTAAATACATATGTATGTATGTATATCTACATTACATACATTTTATATACCTTACATATGTATGTAAAAACATACATATGTACATATGTAACAATTTTGATGTATGTACATATTTTTGCCTGCTGTAATTAGTCTTCTTCCCATGTTATACGACTCCAGCATGTTTGGGAAGGCGTTTCGTTTTGGAAGTGAAGAGGTAATGCATATATATTTTCAAAATCTAAAACAAACACAAGCTCCTTCAAGTAAAAAAAAAATAATAAATTCAAAACTCTTCGTGCATATTTGCAGAAAACGTAAAAAACAAGTCATGGACATGTCGACGCAAGCACTTTGCGAAAACTTGAATTTTAGTTATATGCTTACATTTGTATATTTACAAGAATACAAGATGTTGATAAAATTAATTTTTTATATTGAAGTTCGGAAAGAAGATAATGTCATGTGACAACAGGCTAAACTCAGCTGTGAAAAAGAAAAAAAAAATTCCGCAAAAAACAGACTGGCATTCTCTAGCACGCAGTAAAAAAGTACGTGTACAGTTTCTTACTGGTATTTCATACATCTTCGCTTCCAAGACGTTATGAGATATTTAAAAATTGTTATTAACATTTTGTTAGTGTGTGCTGTTTATTTAGCTGTAATGAATGGAAATACTATTAATTAAAATAAATTAAATTTTTATAAACTTTATTCGTACTCGTTCTTTTGAATTATATTAAATGGTAATACATCGTTTTATTACTCATTGAATGTGTTATATGTATACATAATAAATATATTCATCATATTGTTTTCGTTTAAGAATATGCATACATGAGCATATATATTATATGTACACATTTGTACTATAGCTATGCACAGAGTTTTAGCGCACTGGTAATTATAATTTGAAAAAATACCGATACTTTTCTGAAAACAACACTTTCATGAATTTCTAAATAGTATATCATTATTACTCTTAAAATCTCTTCAAACTCCAAAAAAGTGCACTCATATGTCTTCTATTATCACTTGTGAATGCGTGTACAAATAATTGAGTACTGTTGTAAATTTAAAAGAAACATACATTATTTTATATTTTTTAACAAAATGGTCAGAGGAAGCTACCTATCTGTTGCAAAAAAGTTACAAAAAAAGGTAGAAGCCAAGAGGAAATTTTATAAATATCAAAATGTACTAAGACAAAAACTTCTTCAGTAGAAAAACATTAACGCACATTTGTCATATGCGCGTATTCATAGATCTAAAGACTTAAAATTTTAAAATAAGATATTTTTTACGGACGAAACCAAAATAATTCGCTTTAGACCTCATGGTGAAACGTGTTTAAATCGCGAGAAAAATCAAGAAATCAATTCCAGATATACAAAAAGGTATACGGTGAAGCACGTTGAACGAAATTGAAAAGTTTGGAGATCTTTTTCGTGGAACGGTGTTGGATCATTGTTAAGATAGAACGAAATATGGATAAATTTGCATATCTTCAAAAACTTAAGAGTCATATTCCTTCTTAATTGAGTCTTTAAGCATGATAACGATCCGAAGCATACAGCATAAGTGGTCAAAAACCAGCTTTCCCCAGAAAAAATTTCAGTTCTTGATTGGCTAGCTCAAAGTCCCGTCCTGAACCCAATCCATAATTTGTGGAATGATGTAGAAACTAAAGTTGGACAAAAAAAAATTAAAAAATTGTGACGAACTTTGGGCAAGAGTGTAGGAAGCGCGGAACTCTATATCTTTGTACAGGTGCCACAAGTAAATAGAGAGCTTGCACCACATGTATGAAGCAGTTATAACAAATAAGGGTTATTCAACAAAGTATTAATGAGATAAATATTGTAATAACACCAATAAATTTTACTCCATTCTTCATAAATATTTACTTTTTCTTACAGGCCGATGAAAGTGGGCAAAATGCTTGTCCAAAGTAAACTGTGGCCAAAGAAGCATTACTGGATTTCACTAAATATTTTAAAATGATAAATCATCTAAATTAATTTATTTCAGAGTCTAATGATTTGATAAATAAATTTTGTACAGCATAACGGCTTAACTTTATTAAATATAATAATATTGATAACTTTTTCCCACAATAAACTAGTGCGCTAAATCGTTGTCCTTAGCTGTATATATCAATCATTTTTTATATTGTTTAATGATTAGCATATTTTCTTGCTTTCATATTCAAATGTGCAATAAAGTTGTTAGTTGATTGTTTTTAGGTTTTTAAAATTTTGTTTTCTTTTAAATATTATAGTTAAATTTTCTAATACTCTTAACAATATAAAATATTGATAACATTTCAAAACATGCAATTTCTATTCGTTTCTTTTCTTTTTCTCTCCTCACTCATCATTGAATGCATCATCAACAAATCTATCGTGCAAAAAATGTTCGGACGTCCACGAACACATGGGGCTGGGGATACATGCGCACCATTTCGATTACCTTTTGTGTGTACGCCCATGTCTATCTGCGTCCGCGTCTATCTTCAAACTTCTGACTGGGCGTGCGCGTGTGGTTTCAATCATCTATACCAACCTATCAACAAAACTTCCACCTGTACATATGTATCTAACACTACACAATTACAATAACCTATACTACCATATCTATCACTACTGATCAATTCAAATCATATCAATTTTGATTTCTCCGCCTCTATTTCTTTTATCCACCTAATATTGGAATTCAATACTGTTGTAATCTCTTTTCATATGAACATATGTTGGACACAATTAGATACGCGTGGTCAACGCTTTTCGTCAAGGACTAGATGGCCGTTACGGTGAGCATACCAACACTTCGTTGGCTGAAGTGCTTCGAAAGCAATCATCATTGAGCAAACGACTCTCGGAAACTTCATCCATCGAATATGCTGATAATATTCCGGACGAGCTGACGATACCCGAGATCGATGTTGAGCGACTCTCTTCGCACAGTCATACTGAAACTGCTGTCTAAAGGTAACAAAAATTACAAAATTGCATCAAACATAGCAAAATATTCGTTGTACACATATGGACATATATGGAAGATGGAAATGTAGAAAGTGAGTAAAGAAATAACACAAGCAGCAGCAGGAGCAACATCCATCGACAGCATCATTGGTAGTAATGGCAATACAAATAATAATAATAGCAATCCAAGCAATCCATAGTATAAGAATTTTGATCAAATTAATATAAAAGCATAAATACATACATATATATGTATTTATGCATGTGTATGTATGCAAGTGTAATAGAGTCTGGCAAATTATTTAGTATCATTGAAAGAGTGTAAGCCAAGGGAAAATCAGAAGGCTAAAATGTAACAGAAATAACAGTCAAAAGTTTGTATACAGTAATTTTTGGTCATACGCTACAATTTTTTGGATGAAAAATAAAATAAAATCAAACTACTTACCTTATGTAATATAATGCAATTCGATATAACAAAAAAATAGAATGAAATCATGTTATATAATACAATAAAATTTAGCGAAAAAATTATTTCAATTATTACTTTAATAAAATTTATTAAATATAACAGTCAAGGTTGAAATATTTTTATTGTTTTTATTTTTAGAAATTGAACAAATCTATCTATCTAGAAAGTGACACATACAGAAGGAATGTTTATAAATACATATGTACATATGTATGTAAATACCTATATAATTATAAATTTTTTTTTTGAAAACGTACATACGGTTGTTTAACTAGCACACAGATCAACCCCTCCCAATGTATTTATGGCATGAAATAAAAGCTCCTCAAAAATACCATCAGCCATTCCAAGACACAAAACTACAAATTTGAGGAGAAGCTAGGCCGAAAAACGCATCAGCGGTTACAAAGTGCCAATTGTATGTATAGCTGTACAAATTTCCCTTTTTATAAAACAATTAAGGTGGTACCCATGCGAACTTGGCAAAATATATTATATATTCATATATTGTTTTCTTAAGGAAAGTAAGTAATCACCTGAAGCAAGAAAACTGGAAAATAAAATAAAATCACACTGTTACCCTATGAGTTTATTGAATTGCATTCCCAAAAACTATTGCTAACTTCGCTTTTTAGGATGTAAAGTACTTTGGCATTGTATTGTGTTTCCGAAGTAAATGAAACTAAAGCACTCCATACAGGACGTCGAACTGCTCGGGCGGCATTCTAAAGTTTTCCACGAACAGTCGTGTATCACTTAGCACTCATTTCCTTAAGACAAGTGCTGACTCTAAACGCAGGATATTTCCAAGATTTTTTTTGGTGCTGCAATACTTGTATTGCAGCCATTAGTAGACTTAGTTTTTTAATCTATCTAGCTTTGCTTTGAGAAACACAAACACATATGATTCGTAAATTTAAATACATATAAAAATATTTTTTGCACCTCCCTCCACAAATTATATTTACTTTGTTGTTATCCACCAGCTGATTGCGGTAATGTTGCCTATATTAGCAAAGTACGTTTCTACTACAATTTTTGTGAAAGTAATTATTTGCCATTGTTTACTTGGCAATAAACTTAAGAACGTCATATAGGCCTTTAGTAAAAACAACGCCGAATGCTGTGACTACCCAATTTACATTAGTCCCAGCCGTTCCATCCAACTAGCAACTTGGTGCAGCTTAAATGGAAAAAATCAAATTTTTCTGGTTTCTGCACTAACGGCATCGGCATGTGGCTACAACTTTTCACTTACATGACGCTCTCAACTCTGGACGCTTCTGGTCGATCGCTTGCTTCAAGCGGTTCAGTTGTTCGCAGAAGATGGTAGAATTAAGCGTCTGGCCATATGGGAGCAGCTGTTGGTGTTGTTGTTGTTGTAGCGGTTTGCTAACCCCGCCTAGGCACAAGTTTGTTCAGTCTAAGTTGCCGAGGTCATCTAGTGGTAGGTCCAGGAAACGAGCTGTTTCGACGGGGTTGGACCAAAGGGAGAGGGGGGTTAGATGAGTGGTTTTGAGGGGGCATGTGAAGAGGTGGTTAGTGTCGTGGGGACTTTCCACATGCAGGGCATACGTTAGGTATGCTGGGGTCTAGTCTGGATAGGTAGGAGTTTAACCTGCTACAATATCCAGACCTGAGTTGTGTCAGTGTCACGTGGGTCTCTCGAGGCAGCTCGAGCTCGTTGTCTGCTATGGGTGGTGGTATTTCTCCGAGTACACCATTCACTGGAAGGGAGTCCATGAAGGTGTTGACTGACTCCTGGTGAATGGCGTTCAGTGCTTGTCGGTACGCCGGTTGCTGGATTATGTCCTTAAATCTAGTACTCCCTTTCTGAAGTGCCTAGGTGGAGGTTCAGCCTCTATTAGGTGCCTGCTGGGGAGCTCTTTACGGTAGCATCTCAGTAGGAACTGTTTGCACAGCACAGTAGGAACTGCTTGCACAGCAAAGCATTATGCTCCTTAACTCGTAGCATAGATGCTTCCCTGTGCAAGTGACGCTCCGGCGACATCAGGGGCTTTCCTGTCGCAGTCCTGAGGGGGGTGTTTTGGCAAGCCTGTAGCTTCTTCATCTGCGTCTCGTTCGTCCCCGGACCCAGAGACAAATTGAGGACCCTCGTGAGAAATTCTGCTCCCGCTGGTCCAAGATGTTTCAGCATCAGCATGCTTATTCTGTCGGGGCCGATGGATTTGGAGGCTTTCGCCTTCTCGATGACCCCCTGAACCTCCTCCCTGGAGAAATCAAGCACCGCGCTGGTGTTTGGCAGTTTGCTCATACGGCGGGTCACACGTCGTTTAGCTTTGTCTACCGAGGGATGCAGTGTAAAAAGTCGGCTAAAATAGCTCGCGCATCTCTTCGGGTCCGACGAGGCGCGATCACCGAATGAAATTTCCACCCGGTCATCCCGTCTCGTCGGGTTAGACAGCGACTTGACTGTAGCTTAGAGCTTGGTTGCCCCAGAGGAGAGATTGCAGGTCCTTAGGTGCTCCTCCTACTTTTTCCGCTTATGACAGTTAACGACTCTTCGAATCTCCGCGCTTAAATCCCTGATTAGTGGATTCCCGGGATCGGAGCTTCGGAGGGTGTCGCGCCTGGATGCTAGTACCGCCGCTTCTGTGGGAAAATTTGGGCGGATTTCCGCGATTCGGCCTGCCGGGATGAAGCGGGCGGCAGCGGTCACGACGACCCTTCTCAGTAAATTCCGTGAATCCGGGCCAGTTAGCTTTTTTAAAGTTAACAATTGTCCGGTGGTCCGCGGAAACAAAGTCGGGAGGCCTGTCAATCGAGATTTGTATGGGCAAGTGGTCCGATGCTAACGTCAGTATAGGTCGCCAGACTATACTGTTTATCAGACCAGCACTCGCAATTGTTATGTCTGGCGAGCTTTGGCAATTACCCATAACTCTGGTGGGGTGTTGTCGTTCATTGTGCAGAATGTCGAATCGTCTATCTGTGCCGCCAGCTCCATTCCTCTACCGTCATTTGACAGGCTGGAGTGCCAAGGATCGTGATGCGCGTTAAAGTCGCCCAAAACCAAACGATTTTCGCCCCTGAGTAGCGCACCTATATCAGGGGTGTATCCAGCTGGGCAACTTGTAACTGGAGGAATGTATATATTGAATATTTCGAGCTCGACATCGCCTGACCGGATAGCTATGCCCTGACATTCTAGGGTAGTATCCCTGCGGTCGATGTCGCCATCGATGAGACGGTACTGCACGGTGTTGAGCAGGATGAACGCTAAGCCCCCACCATGGTCTCGCTCGCGATCCTTGCGGATTATGTTGTATCCGGCCCTGTTCGGAAGATCTGATCGGGCGGTCAACTTGGTTTCCTGGATCGCAGCAATTGACAGGTGATACCAGCTCATATAGTCGACTATCTCGTCAATCTTTCCCTGGAGTCACGAAAGCCGGCTCTACGCACCGGAGTTGACCCGGAATTTATCCGGCCAAGGGCTGTCACCCTTTCGGCGACCTAACCCCGTTAAGGTATACAGGTTATGGGAGCAACTCATAGTGGATGATTCCCTTCCAATCTCGCCAAACACACAGCAAACCTTCGATTTTGAAAGCAATAAACTCTGCAGGGTGTGTTAAAAATACTAGCTTGAAAAAATACTAGTTGTTAACTTGAGTCCAATGGTTATTTTTACACGGTAGTGTCCTACATGCTGAGAATTTTCCGATTATGTATCAGCTTCATACTAGTCGTACAAAAGGAATAATGAATATCTACTTCACGAAAAAAATAAAAAATGAGTTCTCTTGCTGTGAGGATCCCACCACAGTGACTACGTTATTATCGTTAGGATGTAGAGAGTCACGAAATCTGCGCAGTTCAGCAGAACTTATTAGGATGAAACTCAGCCATAGCGTACTGAAAATAACAACAATATACGAAAAGCGAGATAGTTAATATGTCTGCTTCACTAAAATTAAAATAAAATGATAAATTAATTTGCCTCTGGTGAGACTCGAATCGGGGGCTCAACGCGCTGTAGAAATAACCCCTATTGAGTCGGCCATAGTGACCATTTAGCGATCAACGTCCACAACAAGAAACGATGGCGGAAATTATTATTTCTCTCATTTTGGGTTGCCCAACAACTAAGCAACTGGTAGGATTTCATCTCTAAAATACTAATATTAACTATTTTTGCCGAAAACTTCTTTGAAACTGAGACGTATATTTTCAGAAGAAGAAACTCATTGGCGCAATCTATTGTCATCACTCTTGGGAGTTATACATCATGAACATTTGCATGGAAGTTCAATTGACTACAATGAGGTTGCTCATTTGGAATGAAGCACAGTTTTACTAAGGGCAGCGTGATAACCCCGTTTTGCGTGCGGAGGTCCACGACACGGATGTGATTATCAAGCCCACGATGAACATTTTGACGCCACTCGGTCGACGGTAGACCCTCGTCTCGGACTACGGTGCAGTCGCCGACTTGAGGCTCCTTCTGTGGAAATTTCCACTTATACCTCTTTTGGAGGTCTTTGAGGTACTCCTCTTTCCAGCGACTGAATTGATGGTGAAATGCATTGACTTTCTCCCATCGGTTAATTAACGAGAGGGTTTCTGCATTCGGCTCGGGAATAGCTAATAACTGAGCGCCTCGAATGAAATGACCCGGAGTTAATGCTGTGAAGTCAGCTGGGTCCCGTGATAATGCCGAAAGTGGCAGAAAATTGAGTACAGTTTCAATTCGAATTAAGAGTGTTGTGAACTCTTCAAATATGAATTTGGGGGATGCAGCGGTTTTTTGAAGTGAGTTTTAAAACTCTTTACAGCGGATTCCCACTGGCCGCCTATATGTGGGTCGCTGGGGGTTTATATTGCCAATTGATGCCTTGGGGAGCATACTTCTGGGTAATGTCTGCTAAACATTCGTTAAGGATTTTGACGAATTCGCGTTCAGTTGCTCTCTGTGCTCCGATGAAAGTTTTTCCATTCTCGCTCATCATTTTGGCGGGATATCCTCGCCTGCCCACAAATCGGGCGAATGCTGCTCTAAATGCCTCAGTGGTAAGATCAGAGCATAACTCAAGATGCACTGCCTTCGTCGCGAAACAAACGAATACGGCAACGTACCCTTTGATGAATGTAGTGGATGTTAAAACTGAGGCCTTTATTAAAAACGGTCCTGCGAATTCCACTTCAGTTACAGAAAATGGTAGGGACGGTAGGGTAGGGGTGCACCGCTCAGGGGGTAGAGCGGCCATTAGCTGGGAGCGCGTTTGTTGCTTGTATAGTGTGCAAGCTTTGCATTGAAAAATGCATTTTTTTATCAAGGGCTTTAGCTTCGGTATGAAATATTCTTGCCTGACCATTTGAAGCATGACATGTAATTGACAAAATCTTGATGCATTTGGGATGATGAATGGGTGCCGCTGATTATAGCTGAGTGTGGCATGCACTAGTCTGCCATTTACGTGGAGAAGTCCATTTTTATCCAGAAATGGATTCAGGTTGAGAACTTTTTTTTGTCAATTGGCTTTTTCTTTTGTAACGCATCTTTTTCGTCAGGAAAATAGCGAGATTGCGATACTTTGATTAGACACTGCTTTGCGAATTGGCATTCAGCATGAGTCAGATGCGGCATGGTGGTTATCGGTTGCATTTTTTGACTTTTTCTGGACATTGTTCACGAAACGGAACATGTATGCAATCACGCGAATTGCTCGAGAGAGTGAAGAGAATCTATCGAGAAAATCGGGCTCTTCTTCGAGCGCATGAAAGGCCTCAATTTTTCGCTTTTCTGGCGGAGAGGAACTGCGTGCCTTTGAATTAGGCCAAGATTCCATGTGGTGTATGAGCCACTTTGGTCCGTGCCACCAGAGCGAATTGGTAGCTAAGTCTTGGGGCCTGCAACCACGTGTGCCAAGATCAGCGGGGTTATCTCCGCTTGCTACATGACGCAATACTTCGTTTGGGACATATTCCCGAATTCGGGAGGCGCGATTGGACACGTATGTCTTCCATTTCTTGAAGTAGAACCTTTGCTCGTATCATAACTGGCGATAGTCATCCTGCCGGGTCAAAAAGTTTTGCGACTGACGACAGAATTTGCCGTTTTGTTGCAGCTGTAGTAGCTGAAATTGGCAGGATGGTGTATGAGAACCTGTCCGTTAATGCGTTCCATCGAATACCGAGAGTTTTGGTGGTGGAAGCATTTTCGAATTTCAAGAAGTTGGAGTCGGGAAGGTCTTCTCTCGGAAATTTTTCCAAGATGGCCGGATTGTTGGCCGTTAATTTCTTGAGAATAAAGCCAGCTGATTTAAGCGCTTTGATCACTTGGTAAAGTGAATCGGTGGCATTGTCAATATCATGACTTCCGGACAGGACATCTGCCAATTGATGCAGAGTACGCATAGCGAGATATGGCGCAAAATTAACCCCGAATTTTACTTTGTTAAGATAGATCAGAGATGGGGGAATCCTCTGATTCGGGAAACAAAATTCGCTGACAATCTTTATCGTCCTCATGGATGAGGAATTGCCGATACATTTTTTCAATGTGTCCATTGAATACATATCTGTACATGCGCCATTGTAAAATTAGCAACATGAGGTCCGGTTGGAGTGAAGAACCTGTATGTAAAGCATCATTTAGGGAATTACCAGAGCTTGATGTTTTCGTTGCGTTGAAAACCACTCGCGCTTTCGTCATGACTTTATCTGGCTTTACAACCGCATGATGTGGCAAATAGAATGAATGGTAGTTGCCATTGGAGTTGTGAGTTCCATATGGCCTAACGTTATATATTCTTGCAACACATCGTGGTACATTGTCTTTAACTCCCCTTTCTTCTGAAGCGAACGTTCCATGCGAAGGAATTTCTGGAATGCCTCAGACCGGGAATGGCCTAGGGTGAGTTTTTCGGGAAAAGTTTCCTTGAGTGGAAGCCTGACAATGTAGCGAACGCTTAAATTACGGGTCGTTGTTGCAACATAATAATCTTCACATGCCTGATTTTCAGGCGTACTTTGTGGAGGTATATAGATTTCCTCCTGTTCCCAGCTGGTTTGTGGCTGTCGAGCGGGAATTGTCGACTTTGCCGTTGCATGTTGTATTGTAGCTTCATGGGGTTGGCTACTGATACGTTGAGCGTGTGGTTTAACATCTATGTGCAGTAGAGTATGATGCATTTGTTGGTATTTCGCACATGTAAACTTGCTCTTACAGTCTTTGGCATTATGGTTGTAAGCAAGGCAGTTTTTACATAAGTTGTTTTTCTGTTCAACTTTGAAACGTTCTTGTCCTAACATATTTCGGAATTTTTGACAGAATTTTTGGGGGTGGCTGGAGTTGCACACATGGCAGGAATAAGCCTTCATTGGTTCTTCCATAATGTTTTGTGTCCTAATTAAAGGTTTTTTCTGAGTAGCATATGGAGCACTGGTTTTTGGCTTATTAGGATGAAGCCTATTCAGTCTTTCTACTACTTCGTACCGAGAAGTTAGAAAGTCGTCTAATTGAGACCATCGGGGTAGGTCTCGTCTTGATGAGAGCGATTGTTCCCAAAGTGACAGAGTTGTTTCTGGTAGTTATGTTGAACAAATGTATACCAGTATAGGATCCCAACTGTCTGTTGAAACGTCTTGAGAATGTAAGACAGACAGACAGTTGTTATTACTTGTTTGAAGCCTTTGTATTTGTTCGCCATTCTCGGATTGAATAGCAGGCAAGTTCATTAAAATTTTGACCTGATTGTCTACTAAAATGCGTTTTTTTTTTCATATCTAGGCCGAAGCGCTTCCCAAGCCAGATCGAAATTATCGTCACTCAAAGGATATTCTTTGACAATAGCTCCGGCTTTCTCTTGAGTTTTATACCTGAGGTGGTATAATTTTTGAGCACGGGAGAGCTTCGGGTGGTTAATGTACACGGCTGTGGACATGTCACGGAAAGCCGGCCATTCTTCATAACCCCCATAAAATATCTCTGTGTCGCAAGGAGGAACTTGTAAAAAGACACTGGAAGCATTTGATTGCTGAGTGGATTCCACACGGGATGGCGGACTCGAAGCATCGACTAGTCTGAGCATTTTTAGCTGGTCCAACATCAAGATGCACCAGCTGTTTTGGTACAGCTGATATGAAAATATATTGTGTATGTATATATATATATATATTGGTGTATCAATGCTTGGATTTATTGTATTTGCTGCCAAAGAGAAATGCAGCTAACCAATGCTGAGAAATAGCAATAATAAAGAGTGTTATAATATGAGCCTGGGAGTGTGCACAATGCTCTTGATCTAATTGAATGCTGTAAAGTGCACTGCTCATCTATTGCAAAAAAACGGATATCGCACAAAAGAGAATGGTGGATAATGGGTTAGTGAGAAGATCACTTGTAATTAGAACACTCTTTGTTTTTTAAGCGCTCAGTGCAAACAATTCGTGGTGAATATTTCCGTTTGTATGTAAATTGTTTGCTTTGATGCGCTGTAGAGTTCGTTCAACTCGAGAAACACTACCAAAGTTGTTGACCAGTCGCTATTTTAGGGGACTTTGAACTTTTACATTTACTGTAGAGTAAGTACGTAATTAGGGCGATGAACTTAAAACGGCTACCAAAGTAAAAAATCGAAGGTTTCAACTTTGGTTTGCTTGCAATAGAGAAATTACAAAGTGCCGTAAAAAGTGCAACCATATGAATGTATGTAAACTTACTACTTGGTAGCCCCTTTTTACTTCCCATTTCTGTGTGTATGTGTTTGCGAAGGGGATTTCCTTATGCTGTTGCAGGAGCTGCAGATACTTGTTGTTGTACTTCTCTTTTGGCAAGTTGATTGGTGTTTTCCAACGTTGAGTTTGTTGTTGTTTTTTTTTTGTTTTTGTGGTTTTGTTTTTCACACTTTTGTAAAAAACAATATTTTTTCTATGCATGTGTGTGTACTACGTATGTATGAATGTATATTTGATTTCGCACTTTTGGTTTTTTTTTGAAATATTATTATTAATATTTTTTTTATGTTTGGATAAACGTATGTGAGCACTTCGGTATGTGTACGTATGTATGTAAATGGTGTGCGACCACTTTATCAATTTAAGACATTAAAAAATTTTTTTTTATGTATGTGTGCCCTATGGCATGTGTATATGCCTATGGATTTCGCACTTTATTATTTTAGAATATTTACAAATATTCAACTTTCGGTGTTGAATAGAATAAAAAAAAATTAATTTTGTCTAAAAATATTGAAAATGTTAATGCTGGTTTATTAAAGTAAAAACGCGTTTTTTTTTTTTTCTTTTTTTGCTATATGCTGTACACTATTTTATATATTTATTTTTTCGTTTTATAACGCACATATGTAGGTACAAAGGTATTGTATAGAGGTAAGCAAGCGATTGAACTTAAAAATACTGTAAGCTTATTATTTATAACAAAGTACTTAGCTTAGTTTTACATTAACGGGAAAGGAGGGGAAATTTCGTTTATCGGTTTTCCTTCAATTTTCTTTGCTTTACAGGAATTGGAAATTAAGGTACGTATTCCAGTGGATAAAGGGTGAGTATTTCAGATTAGGGTAAACAATTCAAGGTGAGTATAAAATTTCTTATATATATATATATATATTTATTTAATTTAAATTTTTCTTTCAGAACTCTATGAGATCGACACTCATGTCTTCAACATGCCGGCGGGCCTGCGGCGACGTGACCTGGACCAAGTCTTCGAGCTGCTGCAGAGTTTTTCGGGCTTTATCTACCAACCCACGGATTCGTTGCTGGAGGGCCGGTGATTTGATGTTTCGTCGAGTTCTCTCGTTGGATGTGCTTCGCATTACCTTGCGCTTCGGTTCCGGTTCAGTGGTGCGCTTTTGATGGTTCTTCCGTGGTTCTTTGGGCAACTGGAACCTGACTTGTCTTCGGCTGTGATGCGGTGCGCGCTCGGCGAGCTCGCGCGAGGGTCGGTGAAGCAGCGTGTGATGTGCTAGTCCGCATGGACGACAACTGTCTGGGGAGTCGCATGCTCCGGTGGTGTGTGAAGTCGCTAGACAATTAATACAATAGCGATGTGCCTTTGCAGACTCGTACCTCTCGTCGGGCGTCATCGCCAGGAAAGCACGACAGTATCGTAGGGAATGCGAGCGGCAGCATAAGCGGCACTTGCGGAAGTCGAGTATTCTGTAATGATTGTAAAGGGTCGAAAAACGCTATGAGTTTGAGATGCTTGTGTAGAAGGCCTCGTATAGATTTGAGAGAGGGGAGAGTATATGTTTGGAGGGAAATGTGCTACGCTAGTGGTAGAATGCAGAGTTAAGTGATGTTGCGAGTGACTATACCGCCTTGAGTGCGAATGTCGACTACGCGGACATTTTGATCGGGGGCGAGATGGAGGTTTACAATTCGACCAAACTTCCACTCGTTCGGTGGTAGAAGGTCATCTTTAATGATGACGAGGTCTCCCTCACGGAGATTGGATTCCTGTCCTTTCCATTTAAATCGTTTGTGTAATTCTTGCAGATATTCTGTCTTCCATCGTTTGCTGAATTGGTGGTGTAGAACTTTCAGCCTCTGCCATTTGTTTATGAGTGACAGGTTTTCCGAGATTGGTTCTGGGATTGAGTGTATGGGGGCTCCGCGGAGGAAATGACCTGGTGTTAGAGCGTTCAGATCATCTGCGTCTTGCGACATTGGGGAGATCGGTCTGGAGTTTAAGACCGCTTCAATGCGCACGAGAAGAGTAGTGAATTCCTCGAATGTGAACTTATGATTGTTCGCGATTTTCGTGAAGTGGATTTTGAAACTCTTCACTGCTGCTTCCCAGAGTCCTCCCATATGGGGGCATATGGTGGAATAAATTGCCAGGTGAGGCCATGGATGGTATATTTCCTGCTGATGTCTTCAGATATCTCTCCGAGAAATGCGATGAGGTCCTTATTGAGACTACGCTTTGCTCCAATAAATGTTCGTCCATTGTCTGACATCATTTTGCATGGCGTCTGCCGACGAAACGAGCAAATGCGGCTTTGAACGCTTCAGTACTTAAATCTGAACAGAGTTCAAGGTGTATGGCCTTTGTGACAAAACAGACAAAACACAAACATAAGCCTTTGAGTATGATGCTGTTCGGAGAGTTGACGTTTTTACCAGAAAGGGTCCAGCGAAGTCAACTCCTGTAGTTTGAAATGGTAGTGAGTAGGTTGTTCGCTCGGGGGGTAGTGCTGCCATCATTTGTGACTTCGTGTTTTTTTTATATAGGGTGCAAGGTTTACAATAAAAATGCAAGTTTTTATTTTCTGCTTCAGACGGGGGATATAGTATTCTTGTTGAATCATACGAATCATTAAATGCTTTTCGGCATGAAGTAACGTCGAGTGTAGGAAGGCGAGAATGAGAGTACAGAGTCTTGAGTCGCTCGGGATGATAATCGGATGGCGCTCATTATAGCTAAGGGCAGCGTAACGGAGACGTCCATTCACGCGCAACACCCCTGCTTTGTCTAAGAACGGGTTGAGCGTTAAGAGAGGGTCCTTCTTATGGATTGGCTTGGATGCTGAGAGAGTGGAGATCGTATTACCGTAGTGTTGATGCTGAGCGTTCCGAATGAGTATCGTTTTTGCTTGGTTCATTTCATCTTGGGTAATGCAGCGTGAGGAAGGGGCTGGCAACCCTTTTGCCTTGTTTACGAATCTCAGCATGTAACCTACTACTCTGAGTGCCCTTGGATAGGATGAGAAGCGTTCCAAAAGATCGACGTTTTCGGCTGCGTGATGTGCATCTGCTTGTCGCTGTTCTGGTGGAGAGGAGTGCGAGGTGGCAGCTTTCGGCCAGAATTCTGATGGTTTGGTTAACCATTCTGGACCGGACCACCATAGAGGGGAGTTGACAAGCTCCTGAGGTTTGATACCGCGCGTACCTAAATCAGCTGGATTGTGAGAGGTGGGGACGTGTCGCCAAATAGTGTTATTCACGTTTTGTAAAATCTCAGAGATTCTATTGGACACATATGTTTTCCATGTCCATGGAGGTTTTTCCAACCAAGCTAGTACGATGGAGGAATCACTCCATAAAGTTAGCTCGTGAGGTGGCAGATCGAGTTGAGTTTGTATCTGCTTTACTAACTTTGTGAGAAGTACTGCCCCACAGAGTTCCAGTCTCGGAAGTGAAACCGTTTTAAGGGGGGCAACTTTGCTTTTAGCAGCGAGTAAGTGGGACGTCGTCGATCCGTTGTGCTGAGTGCGTAGATACACGCACGCGCAGTACGCCTTTTCGGAGGCGTCAGAAAATCCGTGTATTTGGATAACGCCTTCCGGGTAGAATTCTACCCAACGTGGAATCCTTATTTCGGTGATAGCCATGAGATTATTCCGAAACGTGTTCCATTTGAGAAGCGAGAGTGGCTTGACTGTTTCGTCCCAGTCTGTTCCTTCCATCCAGAGCTGTTGAAGTAGGGTTTTGGCAGTTATCATTATAGGCGATAGCCATCCTGCCGGGTCAAAAAGCTTCGCGACTGCTGACAATATTTGCCTTTTTGTGGCAGCGTTTGCGTCAGGAAGGGGGTCAATGGAATATGAGAATGTGTCTGTCAATGCATTCCACCTAATTCCGAGAGTTTTTGTAGTGCTCGTATCATGAAATTGCAGAAATTCTGAGTCTAGGAGATGGGTTTCGGGTATTTCGTTCAACAGTGATCTGTTATTTGCTGTGATTTTTCTGAGCGGGAATCCGGCGGATTTGAGCACTTCGATTGTTTGAGATACTGATGTTTTTGTTGAGTTCAGATCGTGTCCGCCGGATAGTATATCGTCAACATAAGTTTCGTTAACTAAAATTTTTGCGACTTGTGGGAATTTTGGTTTGGAGTCTTCAGCCAGCTGATGGAGTGTTCTTATGGCTAGGTAGGGTGCACAGCTCACACCAAACGTTACTGTTTTTAGTTTGTAGTCTTCTACTGGGCCACTTGGGGATTTGCGAAAGAGAATCCGTTGGAAGTCTTGATCTTCCTTGTGGACATATATCTGGCGATACATTTTTTCAATATCGCCGTTAAAAACATACTTATATAACCGCCACCTGATTACTACGAGCATGAGATCGTTTTGCAGTATGGGGCCTGTATGCAGTACGTCGTTTAGGGAGAGACCTGAGTGAGCGAGTTTAGACGCATTGAATACCACTCGGACTTTAGTGGTTTTGCTATCGGGTTTTATTACTGCGTGATGTGGCAGATAGAATGAGAAGTATTTACCGTCCCGTATAATTTCTTGAGAGTCTTGAGTGTCCTAATGCCATCGTGTTGGGAAATTCCGGTTTGAAGGGGAGTTTTACCACATATCGACCGTCATTTCTCCGGTACGTGGATCGAAGCAGCTAGGGTCTGCTAAAGGTAGAGAGGCATATCGTTTCGTATCAAGATATGTGATCTTGAATGACGGTAAGAATTGGGTTAGCTGTGGAAGTATAATGGCTTGAGTTGCGATTATTATTTTGCTATCGTTGGAGCATATTGTTAATGAACAAATTTTATTTGAATTTTGTACCGTGTGCCCGCCCATTCCTAGAATCTCGTAATGAGTTTTTGTGGTGGGAAGTTCTAGTAATTTTTGGACACGAGACGTTATGAAGGTTTTTTGAGACCCTTGGTCTATGAGTGCTCTTATTTGAGTTATTTCTCCTTTTTGGAGAATCGGGATGATTGCTGTGGGAAGCAATGTTCTTTCTCTACTGCTCGAGAAGTGTGAAAGAATTTTATCATCTTCTTTTGGAGTAGAGTTTGACGCTTTTGCTGCCTGTTGAGAGGTACAGGGCCGTTCTTCGTCAATTGCCACTTGGGATGTGACAGTTTTTCTTGAGAATCTTTGACTGTTATCTGTTTGGCTATTATTAGAGTAATGGAGGAGTGAGTGATGCCTTCTTTGGCAGTAGATGCATGTAAAATTGCTCTTGCAATCCCTCTCGGTGTGAGAGCACGCCAAACAATTTCGACAATAATTGTGATCTTTTATGAACTTGTTCCGATCGGGGACGAAAAGTTCTCTAAATTTGACGCACATCATCATAGAATGGTTTGAATTACAGAGTTTGCACGATATTGGTCTTCTTGACTCAGTAGGTAGTGTGTGCATTTTATTCCTATTCAAAAAGGTGGAGTTATGTGTGGGCCTGTGAGTTCGCCTAGGGATGGAGTCTGGAATTTGAGGTTCCGGAGTTTTTGGATTGAGTTTTTCCAAAACTTTAAAACGAGTTGTCAAGTTGCTCATTTCAGACCAGAGGGGTAGGTCTCTTCTGTTGCAAACTTGCTGTTCCCATAGAGACAGGGATTCTCGAGGTAATCGAGAAGTGCATATACGCACCAAGAGTGGGCTCCAGTCGAGTGTGGAAATTTGGTGAGATTTGAGGACGGAGAGACTATTTGTTATCGCAAGATGGAGCTTTTGAATTTGCTCCGCGCTCTCCACTGGGATTTTTTTGAGATCTAATAGGGTATCTATTTGGTTATCTACTAGTAACCGGAGGTTTTCATATCGGGATGAGAGTGCTTGCCACGCAAGCTCAAAATTCAAGTCGCTTACCGAATACTGTTGAATTACCCGTGCTGCTTCTCCCCGTGTCTTCGTCTTCAGGTAAAACAACTTTTGCGCATTCGATAGCATGGGATGTTCTATGTATACTGCTGTGAAAAGGTCTCGGAAGGCGGGCCATTCTTCATAGCCTCCATAAAATGGACTTGTGTCACATGCAGTTACTTTGATGATGATGATGTTGTGAGTTGTGTCCACCTTATCTGTTAGCTTATCCAGATGATCCTTGTAATGCCTGACTGCTACCGCCGTTTGAAGAGTACTGCAGTCGCTCCACCACTTCTCGCAGAATTTCTCCATTGTTGAGAGATCATGAATGAATCTTCTGTGTAATTGCGAGATTTCCTCCTCTGCCTGAGATTTGGACCGAGTGCGTGGTCCTGTTAGGGGCTTATCATCTGGCATCTTCTTTTAAGTTGGAGTCGTAGTACCCGGAAATGTGTTAAAAACGAAAAAAAAAAATTTTTTTTATATAATATTATTTTATTAATAATATTGTTTAATTTTTAATGTTATTTTATTTCTAATAATATTTTATTTTAATATTATTAAAATTAAAATTATTTGTTTATTATTATTATTTTTTTTTGTTTATATATATATTTTTTTTTAATATTAGCTCTGTCCCAATTTATGTGGAGCGTACTTTAGTTTGGGTGGCGTAATAATAATGTGGGACTGCACTGTCTCAGCGCTTCTGAGTACAGTATGTATATATATGTATATATATGTCTAGTGTATATATGCCTTATAATGCATATATACTGACCGCTAGCTATTGCGAATAGCGAAGGTGTGGAAATAGCCGCAATGCGATAAGGGGAATTGCATACGCAATATGTATATGGAGTGTATATATATATGCTGCTCGGCTGTTGTGTAGCGGACACCTCGCTATTAGAGTAGTGGTATGAGCAATGGGTGGGTAATGCCAACACACTGGGCCAGTTGTAGACCTGTTGAAAGGGGTTTCGGGCCAGTTGGCATATATGTACAATGAGATGTATGTACGTGGGTATATTAATAAAATGAGACGGATAAAGGAGTACTCACTTTGGCATATCCTGTATTTGTACAAACCCTTAATAATTGTTCTGTGATTGAGTGGATGTCGGTTGTTAGCGGGTTTTCGTTGATCGGCCTCTTTGCGGTTTTTTGTCGGGAACCGATAAATATGTACCTTTTTTTTTGTTATGCACTACATATATAGTTTTTTTTTCCAAACGTTTTTTTTTTTTTCACCGAACCTTATGTTTGTATGTCCGCATATACCGGTAAGTATGTATTTTTTTTAATGCTACGTATATAATTTCACCGAACGTTATGTATGTTCGTATATATGTATATATATAATTTTTCTCTTTTTTCACCGAGCGTTATGTATGTATGTACGCATATACGTGTATATATAAATATATATATATATAAATTTTTCACTTTTTTTCACCAAACGTTATGTATGTTCGTATATATGTATGTATATATATATATTTTTACTTTTTTCACCGAACGTTATTTATATGTATGTACGCATATACGTATATATATATATATATATGTATTTATAAATTTTTGCACTTTTTTTTTCACCGAACGTTATGTATGTTCGTATATATGTATGCATATATATATTTTTTTTCACTTTTTTCACCAAAAGTTATTTACATATATATTTATATGTATATGTTTTGCTTTCTCAGCGAATTTTTTTTTTTATATATTTATATGTAAAAATTTTTTTTTTGTTTTAGTTATTTATTTATATACATATATTTTTTAATTTTTTTCATATATGTGCATATGTGCTATTCAGCGACCGCATATGTTGAACTTTTTTTTTTTTATATATTTTCACTTAATTTCACTTTGTTTACTTTTTCAACTTCTAGCTTTATATATTTATTTTACTAAGCCACTTTTCGTGCGTTTAAAAAAAATTTTTATTCGCGACTATCGCTTGCTTTTACGCCGTTTTTTTTTTTTTTTTTAGATTCACTCCGTTAAAAGGGTTTCGGCACCATATTCAACTTTCGACGTTGAATAAAATAAAAGATTAATTTTTTATATTCCGCACACTATTTTTATTTAATTATTTATTTTTTACACGCACATATGTACAGACGTACTGTAATGAGGTAAGCAAGCGATTGAGCTTAAAAATACTGTAAGCTTATTATTTATAACAAAGTACTTAGCTTAGTTTAACATTTACGGGAAAGGAGGGGAAATCTCGTTTTTCGGTTTTCCTTCAATTTTCTTTGTTTTACAGGAATTGGAAATCTAGTGGATAAAGGGTGAGTATTTCAGATTAGGGTAAACAATTCAAGGTGAGTATAAAATTTCTTATATATATATAAGTGTCTTATATTCAACAAAGTGTTTTCAAATGATCTAACAGTGATAACTTACAAAGAACTAACAATCGGCTATATCAAACAAATCAATAAAACTTGTTTACTAAAAAAGAATACAAAAATATTTATGCCCAACGATGAAGATTTTTACAATTTCAAAACGTATATAAAGCATTAGAACAAGTCGTAACAAAGTTTATCGATGTACAAAAGAATTGGAAAATATCACCGATTTTGCGAACTTTAAAAGTAAAGAACTTGAAATTCATTTCAGTGGACTTCAAGAAGGTATTGAAAAGTTTACAAAATAATTAAATTACATTCCTAATTATCTTAAAGAGATCACTAAAATAATAAATGAAGGTGAGCTTTGCTATTATTTAAAACTATCCCTCCAATACACAAAATAATTTATTGTAGATTTTTGGAAATGGAATAATGAACTTTAACTTGTATTGATTTGTTCCCTTAGTTTGCTATAGTAGAAAAAGTGAAAGCATTAAACAGGTTGGAGACGAAAAAAGCAAAATTTTTAATTATATGAGCCCTCCAAAGACTTTAAAAATCGACATAGATCAAGGCATAAATAATGTAAATGTTAAGCAATGGTGTAATTATTAAATATAGAAGTGGAAAAACTGGTAATTGAGCGATTGCGAAAAACTTTAAATGAAAAACTTAGAATAATCAATATTTCCGGTGATAAAGAACTAAAATATTCAGAAATTGAAAAAGCACTTTATACTTATAACCATTATAGTTCACTCTATCACTAATGAAATTCCATATAATTTTTTTTAATAAAGAGTCATCAAAACATGATCATCAAGTTATTAAAGAATGAAGAATCAATAACGCAAATAAAAATAGGCAAGAAAAAGATATCGACACAAATTTTGTTCAGAATTTTCGAGAATACGATTAGATAACATGAGTAATCCGTATGAAAAGGTTAGTCTTATTCACACTGAAGAGGATGGAGAACAACACATTGTTAAGTTTAAAATCCAAAATATAAGAAAATACAAGAACCAATTCAAAAGAAAAAAGAAAACTAAGCAAAATTACGTAACATTTAAATACCCTTGTTATTATCGATTATTATTTTATTAGCTTACTAAGAAAATTAAAAGTTAAAATATTTGTTATACGTAAAAAAAAAAATAACTTCAAAGATATGTGAAATTTTTTTTCTTTTGAAAATTTTCATTTGTTAAAAAAGAAATATTACAATGAAGACATTGCACGATTTAAAAATGGGAGGAGTGACTTACCCTAATGCTAAAATCAATACCTTGACTTTTATGAGCAATACATACGATTTTCTAATCGTCTTGCACTTCTGCTTTCTGAGAATACTCATCAGCAACTAGGTATACGAGACCTGTGGGATGGTATCGCAAGCTCCCTACGAAACTATTGGATTTCGTAAAGGTCGCAAAAACAGCTTGTATAATGAGGACTGCCGTGTCGCAGTGGAGAGAACACAGACTGCCTACCTTGCAACCTTGCGATCGTCCACAACACGTACGGGATGGGATAGATTCCAAAACAAAAAATGAAAGATGCCGAAGTGCGTGAGTATGAAGAGCTTCAGAAGCTGGCTGACAAGGGTAATGCTCGAAAATTCTATATGAAGAAACGACCACTTATGGAAGGTTTCAAGATCGGAGCAGACTATTTTAGGACACAAAGAGGTGATTTGGTGGTGGAGGGAACACTTCCCAAACCTGCTGCATAGTAGTGAAAATAGAGAGCCCGGGGATGGTGAACCCAAAATCCCCATCGGTGGCGATAGAAAAAACGTTCCATTACCTGACCATGACTTGGTTCAAATAACAATCGCACGCTTAAAAATTAAAAAAGAGGCGGGAGCTGACGGCCTACCAACAGAACTATGAGCGAAATGAGATATAGGGTACCATTGACATATTTCCGCTAATCAAGAAACAGCGGATTCGCTGGATAGATCACGTGGTCCGAATGGATGCGAATACTCTAGTTTTGAAGATTTCGATGCAGTACCCGCCGGTGGAAGCAGAGGAAGATGAAGACTTCCACTCTGTTGGAAAGACCACGTAGAGAAGGGCCTGGCTCCACTTGGTGCTTTCAATTGGCGCCAAACATCAAAAAGAAGAAACGAATGGCGCAATGCTGTTAAATCGGCAAAAATCGCGTAAACTGTATCAGTAAAGTAATTGAGTATTGTTTTCCCGTTATCTTCTTTAACTTTCGCGTATTTTTTACTTGTGTGCGCCTTGGAATATATTGCGTCTCCTTCTTCATAGGTCAGTTGTTTGCGATTGCGGTAATGGGATCTGCTCTTGGTTTTTTGGAGACGCTCTTTCATGTAAATATATCCTCGAGTTTCTCGTTGGTCCGACTGCTTCGAATATCTGTTTATCAGGTGCCGAACTGTGCTGTGCGCGAGTCAAATTATGGTGCTATGCGTCCGTTCAATTTGACCATTTGTTGTCGAATGATAGGCTGATGTTTTGGTATGCGTTATTTGCTGTCGCATGTATATTTGTTTTGCACATATGCCATTATAGTCATTACCAACTTTGCGTTTGGGTATATTTGCGATAGTATCTCGTCAACGTATTTGTATGTGTCCTTCCTTGATGGTATTTGTCACAAATGGCTGAAGTTTGAGTATTTATCGGTTAAATAAGTCCAATAGGCCTATTGTCACTGTGACCGGTATAAAAAACTTTATTTCTTTGGCAGCACTGCTGTTTTCGTCCTTGTCTTATTACTTTTGCCTGTTGGTAAAGCAAAAAAAGAAGAATATTCACATCGAAATGGAAGACGGTGCGTAAAAAAGTAAGTAACTGTTATTAATTTGTTTATTAAATCATCAATATTTGAATCTAATTATGGAAAATATGTCTGAACCACAAAATCTCAGAATACGAAATAGTACCAAAATTTAGTGAATGGTAAATTTTAATACCAAAGTAAATTTTGTTACCTCGATAGAATAGGTCAACGATACAAGTGATGAATTGAATGCCGCTTGTCGTTTGCTTCGGGATTCCAGTATAATGTAATTCGGATTTTTCAGGAAATTTATGCTTTTTTTTTGAATTCTAATCATTTTTTTCAAAGATCTTGTGCTGGAAGTCCTTCTTCCCGTGAAATTTTTCCTATGCTTTTCCTCAATGGATAGTGATAGCTAAAGGGTTTGGTTGAGCCCTCAGTTTATATCGTTTTCACGATTTGAGCTAAAGAAATAAATTTTCACTAAGACGAAGTACGTGATCTTTATTCATAATCTTTAGACTAAATAGTATATATAACTGTTTGTGCTACTTAAACGAAACGAGGATATGTCGTTAACTTGCGCACGGGGCGGTACAAAAATTATATTAAATTTACATAATTATAAATTTCCCATTAGCAAAGTAATAATACATTAGTGTCCAATAAAACTTGATATTTGCTATTTATATACTAAACAAAGATGTTACGTATGATCAATGTGCATTTTATAGATACTAATATTCAAAATCTTTAATAAAGCATATATTTATATCAATTCGGTTGAAATATTTACAATATACATTTGTACAAGTTAAATTGAAACCGCGAAGAGTTTTATTTCAAACGACTTAAGAAGAGACCCTCGCGTTAACATGATATTAAAAGAATAAAGTACCATTTGAAAAGCGTCCTTTACTATCATACGAAGAATTCAACATCTTTCTCATAGAAGTGGAGCCTGCGTCAACTCTCGTCCGCT